TGTTTATGTTGATGACATAAATCTTGTTGGAACTCCAGAAGAGCTCCAAAAGGCAATTGAATATCTTAAGAAAGAATTTGAGATGAAAGATCTTGGAAAGACAAAACTTTGTCTTGGTCTGCAAATTGAACATTTAGCAGACGGGATCTTTATCCATCAATCTGCCTATACAGAAAGGATCCTAAAACGCTTTTACATGGACAAAGCGCACTCATTGAGTACACTAATAGTTGTTAGATCACTTGAAGTGAATAAAGATTTGTTCCGATCTCCAGAAAAGGATGAGGAACTCCTTGGTCCCGAAGTACCCTATCTCAGTGCAATTGGTGCACTAATGTATCTTGCTAATGCTACAAGGCCTGACATAGCATTTTCTGTTAATTTACTAGCAAGATATAGTTCTTCTCCTACACGGAGACATTGGAACGGGATTAAGCATATATTGCGATATTTAAAGGGAACTCTTGATATGGGTTTGTTTTATGCTAACAAAGATAGTGCAGATCTTGTTGGTTATGCAGATGCAGGTTATTTATCTGATCCCCATAAAGCTAGATCTCAAACCGGGTACGTGTTTACATGTGGAGGTACTATCATATCATGGCGCTCCACAAAACAATATATTGTTGCTACTTCTTCAAATCATGCTGAAATAATAGCTATTCATGAAGCAAGTAGGGAATGCGTATGGTTGAGATCAATAATTTATTTTATTCGAGAAAAATGTGGTTTGAAATATGAGAAAAGACCCACAATTTTATAAGAAGACAATGATGCATGCATAGCCCAATTGAAGGGAGGATTTATAAAAGGAGATAGAATGAAGCACATTTCACCAAAATTATTCTACACACAGATCTTCAAAAAAATGGTGACATTGATGTGCAACAAATCCATTCAAGTGACAATCCGACAGATTTATTCACTAAATCTTTACCAACTTCAACTTTTGAGAAGATGGTATACAAGATTGGAATGCGGAGACTCAAATATTTGAAACAAGGTTTTCATGAGGGGGAGTGAAATACGCGATGTACTCTTTTTTTCTTACTAAGGTTTTTTCCCACAGGGTTTTTCTTATAAGGTTTTTAATGAGGCAGCTAGCAATGCGTATTACTAAATATGTGTACTCTTTTTCCTTCACTAGAATTTTTTTCCCACAGGGTTTTTTTCTAGTAAGGTTTTAACGAGGCACAATACCTTTTTAATGAACATCCAAGGGGGAGTGTTATGAAAATAATTATATTGTGGATGCCCATTTATTACTCCGCTATAGATAATCTTCCTGAAGAAGATTATCCATTTAGTACTCTGTTGAAGTTTATCTACAAGCAACTGATGCGGGCAGGTTGCAAGCAGCTCAATGAAATAATTTGTAGCAGCTTTTTATTAAACAGGCAGGTTGCAAGCAGCTCATGCAGACAGCTTACAAGCAGCTAAAGAAAAGCCTTGCAGCTGCTTCCTGAAAAGCCTCGCAGCTGCTTCCTTTCTTCTATAAATAGAGGAGTTTTCANTCATTATGTACATGAATTTGAAGTTGAATAATATATCAGTTTCTCTCTATACTTGTCTTTACTTTACAGTCTTTATTTTATAACAAAGACGTAATTGTCGTTTTACTTCAAGTTTGTTGAATTCCTTTAATCACAGTATATTAGTTATTTAGGATTTGAATTTTATTTGGTTCCGGAAGTTTTTGTTAGTTCAAAAATAATTTATTTAATGGAATAAGATGAGCTAAGCCTTCATTATTTTTTTTAGCAATTTATGCATAATACCCGTTGAACTTAAAATAATTATCATTTTCTACCCATTTAAAAACTATTTACAATATATACCTACTCAATTAAAACTAATTACTCCTATCTACCCGCCAATTATCCATTTGGCTTAGCTTAGCTTGGTTTGGCTTGGCTTGGTTTAGTAGCTTAGTTTCGCTTCGTTTGGTTAGCTTTGACTGAGTATTAAAAAAAATAGGCAGGGGGCAAACCACGATGGGCAGGGCGGGTAAATAGTTTCCCCTTAGCTTTTGTATTTGCCAAAGATACCCTTGTTTTTTTTGCCTCATGCCATTCTATGATATTTAGTAATAGTTGAATAATTTTGTAGTTAGAAAAATGCGTTTGTTGAGGGTTTTTGTAATTATATTATAAATTGAGTAATCTTCTATGTAATTAATCCTAGAATTTGGACGAATACAAATTAGAGAAAAATACTCATTATAAAGATTTACGATGGTCTTTTGCATTTATTGACATAAGCTTTTGACATAGACAGTAAATATAAGAATATTAGGTCATGATCATACAAAGGATTAAGTGAAAAAACTTTGATATTTTGGGCTGTTTGATTCTTTATTCTGCAATCTAATAATTATAATATTTGTTTTTTTTTTTGTAAATCGTGTTTTTAATAATTAAATAAGTTACCAACCAAAAGGGTTAAGGAAATTGAGGCAGATTAATGCATTTTTGGAATAGAGGAACCTTTAATAATGTAAAGGGGGCATATAGTCATATAGTGATACACTTCATATGTTTCCAATTGATAATTGATGTAGCCATTTTACGTTTCTGTTTGTAGACCATTTGGTTTCCGCTAGAATATAGCTTTTTGCCAAAAGAGCACTTCATAAAGATACTAAATGTCAAATTATCGAGTCAAAGATAAATTAGGTTTTTGTTGTTATAAATTCACAAATATTATATTATTATATCCTAAGAAGTATAGCCGAGGTTCTATCTTTTGTCGGTCATACTCTCACAATAAAATATTTAAAATGTTTTAAATGAAAA